TTACTTCTTACTCTTTGTTTTTTCTTTAATTTACTGTAGGGTACACACATTCACACAGACACAGAGAGAGATGGAAAAGTCAGAAGGCACCTCCCAAGGGGGATGACCATGCTGCAGTCTCTTTCTCTTCCATTCTCTTCTTGAGATTTTGAGCACGCATGCACACATGCTCAGTGTGTTTTGCAAGCCTCTAGGTCTGGTACTTGAACTACTATTCAAACACGACTGTTGGCCATGTGTGATCCAGTCACCTTAACCACCATGCCATTGGCATGTAAGAAGGGACTTTGTTACTCCTTATGATGTTCTCATTCATTGTCATGGCTTCCAGATCTCTGTGTCTGAATCAGTCCACATTTTCAAGCTGCAGAGTGATACATCTAATTGAATATCTCTATTCATGAAGTCTTTAAGTTTGTTCTAATCAACATATTGAAATTCACACATACTTATTTCTTCCCCTTCAACAAGCTTTTCCTCTTTTCTCAGTTTTGAAAAATTACATCTAACCGGAAACTTGGGGATCATCCTAGGTAGTCCTCTCCCCTGCCCTCCGATCTTCCACCACAATGAAATATACTCTGGGGACCAGCAGTTGGCATCATGACTATGTCTCCCGACTCCCATGTAGCCGACTGTGTTTCGAGTCCTAGACCCGGTGGCTTAAACAGGCACATGTGCATGCGTGCCCAAGATCCCGAGAGGAGAATGGAGGAAAAGGGATTGTGGCATGGCCATCCCCCTGGGGGGGGTGATTTCTCGCTTTCTGTCTCTCTGTCTCTCTTTTTCTGGCAAGGTTTTGCCCTATAGCAAAAACCTCTCAAAAAAAAAAAAAAAAAGAGATACTCTGAAGAGAGTACAAAAGAAATGAAAGATATATACCTTTTCATTCAGTTATCTTGCCAAGAATTTTTATTTGCTAATTACATGTCAGCTTGTTCTATGTGCTGGCATTAAATCAGTATTCAATTTGAATTAAGTCACTGGACTGAATTTATAAATTGATAGCATTTATCAATGAATTCAAGGGGTGTTATTTACATACATAAAATAGTTATCAAAGGTGACATTTACTTAAATGTCTAAAAGACAAATACAGATAAGCACTTTTGGAATTAAGAAAACAGGTAGAGGGGCCGGCAGGTGACATGGTGATTAAGGGCGCTGGACTCCCTCATAGCTGACTGTGGTTCGAGTCCTGGACCCTGACAGTTTGCTTTCTCACTTTCTTTCTCTTTCTGTCTTTCACTCTGTCCCTCTCAGGTCAAATTAAAGTAAATAAATAAATAAAGTTAAATAAAAAATAATTTTAAAAAAGAAAACATGTAGAGGAGTATAATCTGAAATAGCTAAAAAAGACTTCTTGGAAAAGAGTTAGACTTGAATTGGACTGTGAAAGATGTTTAAATTTGGATAAGGAAGAAGGAGAGAGAGAATAACCTTGGAGGTATAAAAATGATATACTTAAGGCATATTGCTGAGAAGGTAATTGCCTGTAAAAGAGGATAGACCGAATTAAACTTTGAATGTTAGGATGGACTTTTATCTTGTAGTATTTACAAGCTGATGGAAATTTGTTTTAGGCTAGATGTCATGAAGTTGAGCTTTTAGGGAGCTTAATCTGGTGGCAGTGGGAGGTGGGAAAGAAGGGACAGTTTACAAGATATTTTAAGGTCTAGAGAATCTGATAGTTGATGTGACGGGAAGAAGAAATAGGCTGAGTTTTTTTTTGTTTTTCATTCACTTTATTGATGAAACTGAGGCTTTTGATGTCTGTGTAACCGGGCACGAACCATAGGTTTGTTAGGAGTTCCCCACCAAAAGTTTAGCAATTTCTAAAAGGACTCACAGAATTCAACATATAGTTATAATTAAGGCTAAGATTTATTATAGCAAAAGGGTACAAAAAGCAGAGTCAGTTTTGAAAAGGTACATAGGGCAAAGTCTGAAGGAAAGCATGCATAATCCTCTTCCAGTGGAATCCCAGGATGTACTTTATTTCCTCCTGCAGTGAAGTTGTGACAGAATGTACAAAGTATTATCTACTAGGCTAGTTAGGTGGTATGCTGGTTAATGTGGCTGGATCCTCCATGGCTGACTGTGCAGTTCCAGTCCAGGACCCAATTGTCAGAAAAATACTCCAGGTACATGTGTGTGTATGCCCAAATCCTGAGAGGAAAATGGAGGAGAAGGGATTGCGGCATGGCCGTCCCCCCTGTGGTTGGGGTGGGGTTGGTTCCTTTCTTTCTCTCTCTATCTCTCTAGTTAGTGCACACACTCTATAGTAAAACAACAACAACAACAACAACAAAAAAAGTTCATCAAAGAAAGTTGCTTAAGCCTAGGAGCCTACCATTTCCTATCAGATATCAGTTACTTGTGTGTCATTTACCCGCTGTTTAGCATGTACCAAAATCTTGACATCTAGGAGGAAAGTATGTGTTCAGTGTATAGTGTTTGCACAGTCTAGGCATACTCACTTGTGCTTACCATTTACATAGAGTTTTATATTGGTCTAGGAAACTGTTTACCAGTTAAGTTTCCAGTTTCCAGCTAAGAGCCAAACTTGCAAATAGGTTTTTCTAAAGAGTATTTGTGAAAGAATTTGACCTATGTTCATATGCAGTGAAGGTAATGAAATTGTTGAGAAGCATTTACTTTGGATAAAGAAGGAGAAATAAAGTAGGGTAAATAATGTAGAGCTAAATTACAGAAAACTGTAAGAGCATGGGGAAACAATCTGGACTTGCTGGACTAGGTGAACAAAAATACTGCAGAAGCTAATAGTCTCATTAGTGCTATGGATAATAAGTGAATGGATAATAAGTGAGTTTTATACTTAACACAGTGTTTTAGTCCATATTTTGTTGCTAAACAGAAATACCTCAGACTGGGTGATTTATAATGAATAGAAATTTATTCTGGTGACTAGGAAATCTAAGAGCACGGGGCTGGTTGCTGGCTAGGATGTGGTCTTACGTCACAACATGGTTAAGACAAGCAGGAAGGAAAGCAGGCACACGCAGAAAGAGTGCAGCCTGTGGACAGTCACTTCCCACCTGCTGTTTTGGGAACTAACTCATTTCCAAGAGTGCAAGAACTCACTTCCTCCCGGGACTGCTTTAACTTATTTATGAAGGCTGTGCCCCCTTAATCCAAATGCCATCCGTGAGGCCCTACCTCCTGTCAACACATCCCTAGATTCTAGCACATTAACATTTGGATTATAAACCCTATCCAAGTCACAGCATGCATTCAGTTAGCTCTAATTGCAGAGGCATCCCTGAATTTACTTGGAATCAGAGTTAAAACTGCAATGCATGACCTAATCCTTGTAACCCCTGTCTCCATTTCAGCTGCACTAAAATATGTAAGAGTTTCCCAAATGCAGCCTGATCTTCCAACCCCTAAACTTGTTTGCATGCTTTTCTTTCTAATACTTTCCATCTGTCTTCCACTAGTCTGCTCAGTTTGTTTTTACTTATTCCAGTTTGTTCAAATGTAACCTCATATGTGTCATCTTTACCTGTCTTCCTAGACTTAAATATGTCTGCTTTTGTTCCCGTAGCATCTGTGCAAACCTGTGTTTAGTGCATGTATCTTTTTCCATTCAGTACTGGATCACCCTTCTATCTTCTGTATTTTCATAGCTTCTTGTACAAAAGCGTTTGTAGTTACCTTTAATATTATTATTTGTTCATTATTCTGCCTTCTGCACTAGATCCTAAACTCTTTAGAAACAGGGACTCTTATGTTTATTTTATTTCCTATTTTTAGCACACTGTAAATAAAAGTTTAATAAATATTTACTGAATGAATTAAGTAGAAATATAGAAAGATTGGGCTAGGAGCTAAGGAAATTACCTGATCTGTATTTTCTCTGGTCAGTAGAGGCGGTCCTCTATTAATGTATTCAAGGTATAGAAGTGTAGTAGAAAACTTGGTTAAGAGTGGTGATAGCTGAAACAGCATTCATGGGCAATAGCTATTATACTGTTGCTCACCTGCTTCTGCAGTATTTTTGTTCACCTAGTCCGGCAAGTCCAGATTGTTTCCCCATGCTCTTACAGTTTTCTGTAATTTAGATCTACATTATTTACCCTACTTTATTTCTCCTTCTTTATCCAAAGTAAATGCTTCTCAACAATTTCATTACCTTCACTGCATATGAACATAGGTCAGATTCTTTCACAAATACTCTTACTCTTTTTTTTTTTTTCCTTAGCCTTTCCACATCATTGCCAGAAATGACTGAGGCCCAAATCAAATTTGAATTCTTCCATAGTTACTCAGATTCATGTTCATCTTTTTTCTCTATCATTGTCCTTATAGCCAAAATTTATAGTCTTAGCATTTTTTAATTGTTTAACTTAATTTCCGTAGCTGTTTGGTAGATTTTCTGTGGGCAGACATACCAATTTTTAAGCTGTTTTTATATTCTTACTCCCCCTTGTTATAGTACTGGCTACATGGTAGATTATTAAATACTGGAGAAATGAATAAATTAATACATGTATGCATCTGATATATGGCTGCCTAGTTTTAAGGAAATAAGCTAAGCTTTATTTGTTTTCTTTTTTTTTTCCTTTCTTAATGTTTGCTGTGAAGAGCAGTGTACCTAGTTGCACATAGGTTATAGCCAGAGATGAGTAATAGTTATATTATCAAGTAATGAGAATATTGTGTATGAGTTAAAATTTCAAAGGCCAAAACCAGTATTGTTGCTTTCTATCAACATTCTCTGAAGTACTTGTTTTTGAAGTATAACAAACTTCCTTCTGTATGTCAGAGAACATTACTAGTATAATTTTAGTGCTATGAAGGGAATAAGCTGTGAATCACTGTGTCAAAAGAGAAGATAGATTCACTTATAAGGGGAAAATGTTTGAATCAAAATGTCACAGTTTCAGGTGATTTTGAAAATCTTAAATGCAAAGTTGCTATAATTTGGATTTTAGAATGTTGGATCATATTTTTGTCGTTGTTTCTAATCGATTCAGGAACAGCAAACAGATGGTGTGAAACTTGAATTTACGGAAGAAAACCTATCAAAGGAGGAATCAGAGTTTTTATCAGTTCATTCTCAGATGACAGGTACACAAGACCTTGGTAAATTATGATTATGTGATTATATCTCACAATATGTAGTGTATAAATAATATATATAAGGTTTTTATACCAAACATTCAGTAATCTGCTTTTTTAGTTTAGAATTTGAGTCCGTTAGAAACTTTGAGCATTTTACTCCAACCTCTCTGGTCTCAGTTTTCTCTTTGATAAAATGAAAAGTTTGGACTACTCATCTCTTTATTCTCTTCTCATTTCTTACATTCTGTGATTTTAAATTATTTTAAATTTTAAGACATAAAATTGTCAGATTTAGGGGCCATGAGGATAGAAGAAATTATTTTGAATTATTGTGTTTATGTTTTCTTGTTTACATCAGTCACAGTGAGTTCAAATTAAAGCCTATTTTAAAAAAAACTTAATTTTGAAAGAAAAATGAATATTTTCTTACATACAAATAAGTGATTATCTAATAGTATTTCAGTAAGAAATTTGTACTGACATGTGCATTTTTTTTGTTCATACAACACAGATGCCAATTATAAAAGCCAGTTATCACCTCTGGAAGATACTGAAAAAATTAAACTTGAAGAACAAGTTCATGAGTTAGAAAATGTGATATCCTCTTTGCAGAAACAATTGAAAGATACTGAAGAAAACTATGGGGCAGAGGTCCATTATTTGCAGGAGAGGCTTCAGGCTGTTAATGAGTCCACGGTTCAACCAAGGTATTCATCTACATTTAACTTTATTCAACTATATTTGAAGCTTAATAATAATCATGGTATCCAGAATGAAAAAAAAAATATGACTTTAACAAAGTCACTTGAAATAAAGAGGATAGCATTTTCAAGAAATAATGAGATACTTGTTTTTTTTTAAAAAGAATTATTTTATTTATCTTTATTTATTATTATTATTATTTTCCAGTTTGATCAGAGAGAGACAGAGAGGGAAAGTGAGAAAGCTAGCCACCAGGTCTGGGACCCAAGCCACTGTCATCCATGTAGGAGTCCAGCACCTTTAACCGCAATGCCACCTGCTGGTCCCAAAGAGATCACTTTTTGTCTTTGAAATGCATTAAATAAATGTTAGGGGGCCAGCAGATGATATAATGGTTATGTTGCTGGGTTCCCATGTGGCCAATCATGGTTCAAGTTCTAGATCCAGTGGTTTCAAACTTAAACCAGGTGCGGGTTCATGCGTGCCCAAGATCCTGAGAGAAGAAGGGATTGCGATATGGCATGTCCTCTGGGGGCTGTTTTCTTACTTTCTGTCTGTCTCTCATTCTCCCTCTGTCTCTCTGGCGAGCACATGTGCCCTATAACAAAAATCTCTCTAAAAATAATTGAATGAGTGAATGAATGAATGAATGAATGAATGTTGGTATAAGCCAATGCCATTTTATTATAGGAATTTTACTTATACTTTTATTTCATTAAGATGATGTTATTAATCTGCTGGATTAAACCAGTCAATGTGCACATTGTTGTTTATTCTTTGCCTAGTCTTTGTTATTTTAACATGACAAATACCCAAGAAATAAAAGATGGGATTGTTGCAGTTGTGACTGGAGTTTTCCCACTTGGTTGTCTAATGCCCACATTCACAATGTCCAGAGTGGAACTTCCAATGTTCTTTTTAAAAGTTCCTCCTGCAGCTGTCTCCATCTATCGAAACTCATCTTTCTCTCATACCTCTCTTCCAATCTATGAAGAAATTTTATTTTCTCTACCTTTAAAATACATCCATGTGCCTCCACTCAGTACATACCAAATGTTGGCACACTGGCAGAAACTGAAAGAATGGAAGCTTTAAAAGCATTGAGAGCAACTGTTGATGCTACAAACAGTGGGAGAAGAGGGTGGGAAATGGGGGAGAGTGAAAGGGAGGGAATCAAGGGAGAGAAAGAAAGAATCAAAACATTTGAGGGATACAAAAATGGAAAAATATCTGTTGATGATAATGTGTATTGTAATATCTTTGAAACATTATATAGTGTATTCATGATGGGAAGATTCATTCAGTATGCTATTATGATACACAGTGATTGAATGTAAAAAAAAAAAAAAAACAGAGAGAGAAAAAATGGCCACCCCCTCTCCGCCCCCCCCCCAAAAAAAAAAGGCATCTGAAGATGTCACTCCTCACCACCCCGCTGGTGTCATCCTCTCACCAGAATTACCCTAACTCCTTTCTTACATCTATTCCAGCACAGTCAACAAAGGTGTCAGGACCTTGCTTTTCAAGTTTAAGACTTGTTCCTTTGTCTTTATAGTGCTTTACAAGGTCCTGCACGATGAGTCCCTGTTACCTCTCTGACTTTTATCTCTTACTAACTTGCCTGCCACCAACTACTCTCCAGCCATACAACCTCCTTGGGGTCCTTAAATATCAGTATGCTTCTGCTTTAGGGACTTCTTACTCACTGTTTCTTCTACCTAGAATGATTTCTCCATGTATTTGTATGCCTAGCACCTTCAATCTCCTTTGGTTATATTCTCATGAGACCTTTCTTAATCACTCTATGTAAATTAAAATTGTCTCCTAGAACTCTGTAACCTACTTTTCTACTTTTATTTGTTCTGTTTACTTAATATCTATTTTACGTATATGTAATATATATTTTCATTATATTAGGTTGATATATTTTTTCACGTTTTTCTTATTTTTTTAAAGAATAATTTTATTTAACTTTATTTATTTATTTCAGTTTGATCAGAGAGGGACAGAATGAGAGAGAGAGCGAGAAAGAGAGAAAGCAAGCCACCAGGTCTGGGACATGGTGGCTCGTAGCCATGTGGTAGTCCAGCACCCTTAACCACTATGTCACCTGCCAGCCCTATTTTTCTATGTTTTTCTATGCAAAAAATGTGTCATGACTTTTCCAATGACCCAATATATTATATATGAGGGATCTTCAAAAACTTAATGGAAAATGTGGATTATGAAAAATATGCATGGTTTTAAAAAATTTTTTTGCACCCAGAAGAACTTATCCTTTAATTTCATTTTCCACAGATTTTTTTAAAGTCTTTTTATATATACTCTATGTATGTGTGTGTGTGTGTGTGTGTGTATTTGAAGATGCATACATTTGGAAAGGGATGTGTTTATTTTTATTTTGATAATTTGTCTCTGATAAAGGACTTTATGCTTTATAAAATGGGAATCTTTGTCTATTTAAGTCACTGATGTATCCCACACACCTATAATAATTCCCTGTACGTGGTGGGTGCTCAGGAAATATTTATTGCAAGAATGAGCAGTTTGTAATTTAGTGGGAAAATATGCTGTGGTATATAACTAGCTCTATAAACGCCCCAGATTTAATCTAATTTTGGCTGTCTCTGCTAGTCTAAGACTAATGTTTCTTTTGACCCTTGTTCATGGAACTAAAACAGTTTCTTTTCTTTTTTTGGGGTGGTGATTGGAATACAAAATACTGAGAGTCTGTAATGCTTTTTTGTTTTTCCCCCCCAGAGGTTTTTGCATTAGGGTGCATGTGTTCACTGGAGAAAATGACAGACAGTCACAATGAAAGGGAAAGTGAGAAATCACCCCCAGGGGGTAGAGCCGTGCTGCAGTCCCTTCTCCTTCATTCTCTTCCTGGGATCTTGAGCATGCATGCACATGCACCCAGTGTGATTTTCAAACCACCGAGTTCAGGACTCAAACTAGGGTCAGCCATGTGGGAGTCCAGTGGCATAACCACTATACCATGTGCTGGTCCCCTGAGTGTCAGTAATTCTTTAGAAGCAGTCTGTTATTCCTTTTTTATTTGGGGCCTATATATAGACTTTGGAATTGTTCACGGAGTATTGACACAGCCTTATAAAGTTTCCATTATTTTTGGTGAAGCTACTGGTTCCCAAATATGACCGTATACCAGAAACACTGTAGGTTTTTACATTTTAATTTTTTTTAATACTTAGAATTACAAGTTACTGAACTTTACTTTTAGAGAGTCAGACTCAACAGCATTGAAATAGAACTTGGAAATTTGTATTTTTAACAATATAATTCTGGAACCTGGCAGGTGGCAGGGTAATTACGGTTCTAGACTCCCACATGGCTGACCATGGTTCGAGTCCCAAACCTAGCAGCTTACTTTCTCACTTTCTCTCTCTCTGTCGCTATTTGTCCCTCTCTAGTCAAATTATAATGGAGAAAGAAAGAGAGAGAGAGAGAGAGAGAGAGAGAAAGAAAAAGTTAAATAAAATATTTCTTAAAAAATATGGGACTGTGTGATGTACACAGCCTATGTACTGACATTTGGAAACCATTGCTTTGGCTTTCCAGTAGCCCTCTAAAAATCAGTCACTGTATTTCAAGTAATCTTCCTTTAATTGTAAGTGATGCAATTTGTCCAAAAGACTGAAGAAAGAGAGGTTTCTGGAGATGTGAGCTTTTACTTTGTTGTTCCTGCATTTGGGTTTCTGCCAGCTCACCACCCTCTCTGAGATTTTCTGTAGTATTCAGTGGAAATGTGTTGACAGTACCTTTCAACTAAAACCATTAGTTTACCCACTCACCCACCCTCTTACCTCAAAAAAAAAAAGGGGGGGGGTTTACTCATCCCCATGCTCATTCTTACTAACAGTAATGAGTCAAAATTATTTCCTGTAAATGTCATCACTTATTTTGGACATAGCTGTAACATTTTTGAGGGAGTATACCGTTCCCTGCAGATAGCTTTGAAATAATTTAAGAAAAATAACTGAATCATTAATTTGACAAATATTTGATGACTTCATAATAGAGGCCCCTTAGAAAAATACTATGGAATTGAGAAGACCGTAGGTTTAGTCTGATAGACCTACACTTCACCCACTTTGACCTTTTACTGGCTGTATGATCTTGGGTAGATTATTTAAGCATCTCTAAATAATAATAGGGATAATAATAATTGCCATTAATATTGTAAAGATGAGGGAACCAGCAGATGGCGCAATGGTTATATCGGTGGAATACCATGTAGTTGAATGCTGTTCAAGTCTGGTACCTGGTAACTTAAAATTGACACTAGGCGTGTATGCTTGTGTGCCCAAGATCCTGAGAAGCGAATGGAAGAGAAGGGACTGTGGCATGGCCATACCCCCTGTGAGGTGATTTCTTACTTTCTGTCTCCATCTTTCCAGTGAGTACACCCACCCTATAGCCAAAATGTCTCTTACAAAAAGAAGGAAAAAAAAAAAAAAAGGAGTGTAAAGATTAAATGAAACAGGAACTGAGAAGAGCATTCATTCATGGAGAAAGAATTGGATGCATATAAAGTGACCCTTTTCTTCTAGGAAGTTCATTTTAATTGTTGAATAATAATTATCTACAAAATAGTATTTAAAAAGTAGTGGTTGGAGAATGTAAACTAGTAATATAACCAGAGTTATTTCAGCCTTCTGTGTCCTAGTACACATTTTATGTATGACATAAATTTTGGATGAACATACATACAGTTTAATTTTTTTTTCTCTTATTTTATTTATATTTAGCCTCTCCATTGACTCAGTGGTATTTACAGAATCTGATGTTCAGAGAACTATGTACCCTGGAAGTTGTCTAAAAGAGAATAGTGATGGTACAATAGAGGTATTATATTTTTAATCTTTAAACTGTTATGTATAATGATTTTATTCTTCTTACTGTCATTTTTGTGTCTGTGGTTTACTAATTATTTAGTAAATAGTTACTGAAAAGAGAACCTGATAAGTATGAGGTTAATACCATATACAAAAGACCCAAAATATATAAGTAAATAAATTTAGCCTGTTTTTATAGCATAGGAAAAACACAAAAAATGAATTTGAGGGTTCCCTCAAATATGTTATAGTTTAATATGTATCTTATTTTATGTAACATTTGTGGACTATGTAACAATCAGTTACAGTGCCTGGCCAACATTGCTTCCTCTTTCCACTGAGAAAGTTGGAACAGGCCATCTCTAGATGAGTATTTGAGAATCCCCAAAATCCAAGGTTCTAGGGCTGGGATAATGGATGAGTCCTGTTTAGCAGAAACCATGGGATATATTAAAAGCTCTTCAGATTTGCAGTATAGGCCATCTACCTAAGTTATCCTCTGCCTCTCCTCAGCATGATGTATTATTCCCAGTTTCTCAAACCTGCAACCGCAAAACCCTGATCTTCCCCCAGTAGATTTTTAATTCCTGTACCCTAGAAAAAAATAAAGAAAATTGCTATTCCTCATTCTAGATACAGAAAAGAGATATTAGGTACTCTCTTGACTCTTCTACCCTCAATTTCATATGGAATATCTCTTTGGATGAAATTCAGATAATTTACCGATTCATACTGAGAATTCTTTCATACTGAGAACATGTGTTAATTTTTTTTTAAGTTTATAGTTTTTCTTCTATTGATTAAAATTTACAATTTGTATTTGTAGAAATTTGTATACTATTAATAAGTACCAAAAGGAAAAGAAAAGTTGGTTATAATTTCATGAGCAAAGATAGCCACTGTTTAACACTTTATTTAAAGTAATATACACGTACACATATATATCTTGCTAATTATATTTAAGTATACTCATTCCATTCAAGATCTCTATGTCAGTAATTGCCAACATGTAAACATATTTCTCTGTATCTGTAAGTTCACAATAGTTAAGTATAATTATGTAGTAAAATCACTCACGAATTGTTTTTAATTAAGAAAGAATTCAATTTTTCTTTTTTCGCTGAGAGTGTTCAGTATTCTAAGAAAGAGCAATATTTTAAGGACATTGTGAAAGAAGTTTAAAAATAAGTGGTATATAATTAGCATAAATAAATAAGTCATGTTTTGCTTCTTAATTTAGTTTTCTGGTGAATTTGAAGTGAATCAGAAAACAGATGTGATTGAGTTGCTGGAAAAGCAGTACCAAGAACGATTAGAGGAAGAAGTAGCTAAGGTGAGTTTATAGTTTATCTAGAAGATTATAAGGATTCAATGTGCTAATGCATACAAGGCACCTAGCAGATCAGTTGATACATAGTAAAGGCTCTTAAATTATATGTATATTTATTTTTTCTATGGTAGAGGGCACATAACTGTGCTAGAGAAAGTACCTCCCAAACTACAATCTCCCCTCCTCCTGCCTCCATTCCAACAGGATCTTGAGCGTAAGAGCACACACCTGGTATGTTTTTCAAGCCTCCAGGGCCAAGACTTCATTTGCAGTCCGTCATGTGGCATCCAGCTCCCAATGGATAGGACTTAAGTGCTGCACTACAGGGGTAGCCTCGTAAATAATATTTTTAAAATAATCTTACTTGGAGTCATTTTTTTTTTTTTTTTTTTTTTTTGAGAGAGAGATATTTTTTGCTATAGGAGACGTGGGCTCATCAGAGAGACAGAGACACAGAAAGCAAGAAATCAGCCCCCAGGGGGATAGCCATGCCACAGTTCCTTCTCCTCAATTTTCCTTTCAGGATTTTGGGCACATACCCACACATGCCTGACATGAGTTTTTTTAAGCCACTGGGCCTGGGACTTGAACCATGGTCAACTATGGGTTGAGTCCAGCAACATTACCATTATATCATCTGCTGGTCCATCTATCATTCATTTCTAATCTAATCATATGCAGAAAAGGGGCTATGTCTATGGCTCAACAGCTGTGGTGTACATGTGATGCTTAAATACTATGCTCTGTGGGCTGGAAATATATGGGAGGATGGCAGGTTTGATTTTTGGTTCAACCTAAAGCCCTGGCACTTTGGCATGCTCCTGGAATCCCAGCATCATTGGGAGACTGAGAAAGGAGGATCGTGAACTCAATGCTAGCCTGAGCAGCACAGCTAGACCCTGTCTTGGAACAGATGGAGTGGTACCTGCCTCTAGTTCCAGCCAGGAGGCTGAGGATGGAGTATCACAATGTCAGGAGACTCTGTGCTTTATAAAAAGAAAAGAAAGTGATTTTTATGTGTATCAGTTTTTAAATATTTCCTCTGGCATATGTGTCAGTTTTTTTGTTTTGTTTTATTTTTAGATTTTTGCCATAGGGCACATGAGCTCACCAGAGAGATAGTGAAAGTGAATGTGAGAAATCAACCCCTGGGTGGTGGTTGGCCACGTCACAATCCTCCATTCTCCTCTTGGGATTTTGGACATGCACCCACAGGTGCCCAGTGTGTTTATTAAGCCACCAGGTCCAGGACTTGAACCATAGTTGACCATGTGGGAGTCCAACACCTTAACCACCATGCCACCTAATAGCCTAGTCAGTTTCTTTTTTTTTTTTTTAAGATTTATTTATTTTTAATTTCATTTATTATCATTATTTTTCAATTTTGACCAGAGACAGATAGACAGAAAGGGAGAGTGAGAAAGTAAGCCACCAGATTCGGGACTGGAACCATGGGTTGGCCATGTGGAAGTCCTGTGCCTCAACCATCACACCACCTGTCAGCCCCCAGATTTTCTTTTAATCATTTCTTTGTAAACATCTTTATTGGGATATATTTTATATAATATATCACCAATCATAAGTGTAAAATTTAGTGAGTTCTAGCAAATGTTAACAGTTGCAAAACCAGCATCAGAAGCAAAATATAAAATATTTTTTCACCCATAGAAGTTTTCTCATGCCTCTTTGGAGCATTTTCTCATGTTCCATTTATAAGTTAAGTTTTACTTCCTAATATTTTGTCAAAGTTGCATCTTACCTGTAAGTTTAATTTTCTTTGTCTGTAGTTTTATTTTCTTGCAGTGTCTATGTAAAGTGTAGGTATTATTACTTCCCTTCATCCTGGAAAGCTACTTTATTTTAGCATTTCTTTTAGAACTGGTCTGCTGACAAGTTCAACAGGCAATATAGATTATGTGTCTTAATTTGAATTGTATATTGAATATTTTGAATACTGGGTCTTCCTATAATTCTCTAGAGAATGAAGTTTTTCTAAAATAATCATTCAATCTAGTTATGTTCAGACCACAAATTCTGTTTCACCCTTCCCATGCAGATCACTTCTCCAAGTATTTTTTTTCTTTATTCATGGTAGAGTATGTGCGATAGAGAAGAAAGGGAGAGGGAGAGGGAGAAGCACCCTCCACAAGGTTTGGTCATGCCCTGATTACCTTCTCCACTCCTCCAGCCCTTCAGTGGGCACTTGTGCACGTCCCTGGTATGTTTCAGGCCAACCAAGCGGAATATCCAAACTGAGGTCTCCTTGTGGGGTCCACCTTCTCCTGAGCAGCAAGCACTTGACGACTGCTCCGTGAAGCCAGCCCCACTTCTCCTATTTTTGACTTCCTGTGCAGTCTGCTTACATGTGTTTAATTTTTTAGATTTCTTAGGTAAGTGCTCTGTATTTTATTGAAGGTTTTCTCATTGTGACCAGTGAGGGAGAGGCTTTACCGGGCTTACTTTATACTGCCCAGAGTCAAAAGACTGTCTTGTGTTTTCCTATCCCATAATCTAGGTGCAATTATTGCTTCACGCCATCAGTATTTAGACTTATCCACATATTTATAAAAACTTTTTTAATATCCTAATCCTTTTTGTATCTTAGGTCTTCATTTTGGGGTGATTTTTCTGCTTTTGGGAGGCCATCTTTAGAAGTTCTTTACCAAATATCTATTGGAATTAAACTGTTTTTATTTACCTGAATGTCTTATATTGCTTTTGTTCATCAGAGAGTTTTATTGGCCTTTTGAATTGGGGTTGACAGCTGTTTTTGCATCAGAACATGGAAGATAACATTCCACTGTTTCCTAACTTCTCTTGTTTTTGCTGAGAAAGTCCTTGTCAGTTTGTTATTCTCTTATAGGTAGTATAACTTTTTTTCATTTGGAACACTTAAAATCTTTTTGGTTTTGGTGCTTTCTTTGTCTTTAAAATTCATTGGTCTTGAATCTTGGGAGTAGTATCTTCTGTAAATGTTCTCAGCCATTATCTCATAAAATAATTTCCTTTCTATTATTCTCGATTGTATTTGAGAACTCTGATTAGATGTTGGTAGAACCTTCTATTCTGTTCTTGATATCTCTTTGCTTTTGTTTCATATTTTCAATATTTTTTTGTTCCTGATTAATTCCTATTATGGAGAGACAGGCAGATTAGGTTTGAGACAGGAAATTAAAACAAAAGCTAGTGTTAAGGTTTTTGTTTGTTTGTTTGTTTTGGAGAGGTTTTTGCTATAGGGTGCTTGCGCTTGCCAGACAAAGAGAGACAGAGAGATAGAAAGCAAGAAATCACCCCCCAGGGGGGGATGGCCATGCCACAATCCCTTCTGTTCCATTCTCCTCTAGGGATCTTGGGCAAGCACGCACACGTGCCCGGCGTGAGTTTTAAGCCACCGGGTCCAGGACGCGAACCGCTGTTGACTACATGGGAGTCCAGTGACTTAGCCATTACGCTAACTGCTGGTCCCTAGTCTTAAGGTTTTTGACTACTTTTTTTGTTGGTTTTAGAGAGATTTTTGCTGTAGGGTGCATGTGCTGGCCGGAGGGACAGCGACGGAAACAAAAAGTCACCCCCCAGGGGATGATGATGCTGCAAAGCCTTCTCCTCCATTTTCCTCTTAGGATTTTGGGCATGCATGGACATGTGCTTGGTGTGAATTTTAAGCTACCGGGTCCAGGACTTGAACTGCAGTTGACTACATGGGAGTCCAGCAATATAACCATTATGCCATCTGCTGGTCCCAGGTCTTGACTACTTTTTAGAAAAGGCTCAAGATATGTTTTGCTAAATTGTATTTTCCAATTAACTAATTTTTTCACCTCTGTTTTTTGATTTGCTGTAATAAGTGTAGATTCCAGATTATAGTATCTAGAACATTATTAGCAAACCCTGGTTCTGTCTAGCATAGGCATCCAAGGGGTCTATTTGGTAGGTGATACGTAGTAGCAAGATTGGGCAGAACCAATGTAGCATGTAGTGCTTAAAGTGCTTAAGCAATATGGTTAGATAGTCTTTTCTTCAGATCTCTTTTCTGCCATTTATTAGATATGTGACCTTTGACATGGTAACTAGCCTTGCTGTATTTTTATTTATTCAGGATTGACTGTTGGTATTATAAGTCAGTTGTAACATTACATTTCTTGACAGATTCATTCGACTGTGGAGGCAGTAATATAATGTTGCATTATAGAAGGTGAGCCTAGGTAAAGCTACAAAATTTTAAACCTCAGCTTTCATCATTTATTTTTTATGTGTTTTAGAATCAAATTTTTTGTTCTCTCACCTTGTTAGTTTCCTCATCTATTAAATTTGCTTGAGGTTTCCACTTTCTAGAATATGATGAAGATTAAATGAAATAATACAAGGGCTTAATACTGCTATTTAGCTATTGCTGCCACTTTTATTGTTAACCGTTCTTGCTATCATCAGTATTATATTTATTGAAGCAGTACTCCATTCAGCAGCTAGAGGTCATAGTATGTAGGTAGAAGGAGGCTAGCAGAAATCAGTTGAGAATCAGGACCCCAGTAGGCCAATCAGTCCAAATCAGAAAAGTCAAGCAAAATCCCACTTAGACAGCAATGGACCAAGGAAAACAGAGAAGGCGAAAAGTCAGTAGGCACAAAGCTTTCTAACCCCAGGCAGGCTTTATCTTGAACATATGGCAACCAAGCTTCCTATATTGGAAATTATCTATGGAGATGGGACTTGAAATAGTTATTGATAAATTCGATTCACAGACTTAAGGTCTTGTTAGAGCCAAAGCTATTGGTATGAATTTCAGATTTCTTAAGTAAGTGCTCTGTATTTTTTTTTTTGAGAGGTTTTTGCACTCGCTGATAGAGAGAGACAGAGAGACAGAAAGTGAGAAATCACCCCCCAGGGGAGATGGCCACACCACAATCCCTTCACCTCCATTCTCTTCTTGGGATCTTGGGCACGCACGCACACACTCCCAGCATGAGTTTAGGCCACCAGGTCCAGGACTCGAACCACGGTCGACTGCGTGGGAGTCCAACGACATAGCCATTACGCTAACTGCTGGTCCCAAGTGCTCTGTATTTTATTGAAGGTTTTTTCATTGTGATCAGTGAGAGAGAGGCTATACCGGGCTTACTTTGTACTTACTTTATACCTACAGTAGGGGGATCATAGTTGTAGTAGAAAGTCAAATTGGATTAGATCGAAATGTAATTGTAGTTACCAGTCATATAAACCAAGGGTTCCACTTCTGGAAATTTATTGTGAGGGAATTTGAAAAGATATGCATGATAATATAATCACAAAGATTTCTTCACGGTGTGTTAAATAGTATAAGAATGGAATGTCAGTCCAAGTGTCCGACAAAAGCGAATTGATTGAATACATTTATAATACATCTGTGTGAAGTGAAACTTTAAACTCATTAGAAATTATGTACTAGGTCAGGAAAGTAATGATGTATTTCTCTATGCATCATGACTTTCCCAGCAACCCGATAGAAATGTGTTCCTTGACTGGAAAAAATACAGTACTTACTATAATTAATCTATAAGATCTGATTACATTGCCAGCTCTATGGCCTAGTGGTTAAGGGAGCTGGATCTCACATGACTGCCCAGAGTTTAAGCCTCAGCAGCTTGAGACATACTCCTTACATAAGTGCATTCATGCCCCAAATCCTAACAGGATGGAGAAATGGAGAAGAGATTCTGGTGGGGTCATGCCCCATGGGAGGTGCTTTCTCCTTCTCCTTCTCTCTCTCTTCCTCTCTCTCAGTTTCTCTGTCTTTCTCTCTCTGGCAAGTATATGCACCCTCTGGCAATCAAAAAAAAAAAATTATAGGGACCAGCAGTTAGTGTAATGGCTATGTCACTGAACTACCATATAGTCAACCACAGCTCGAGTCCTGGACCCAGTGGCTTAAACTCACGCCAGGCACATGTGCATGCGTGCCCAAGATCCCAAGAGGAGAATGGATGAGAAGGGATCACGGCGTGGTCATCCCCCCTGGAGGGTGATTTCTCGCTTTCTGTCTCTCTGTCTCTCTCTTGTCTCTCCAGCGAGCGCACGCACCCTATAGCAAAACAAACAAACAAAAAAAACCTCTCCAAAAAAAAATTATAGTATTAGTGTATGATCAGATTATTGTAGGAAAATGCATATCTGTACCTGTTCATATTTATCTCTATATGTAAAGAAAAAGGTTTAGAAAAATATTTACTTATATATTTATAGTGATTTTTCTCAGAAGAGTGAAATATAAGAGCTTTTATTTTCTAATTTTTATAATGACCATTTATTAATGTTGTAGTAAGAACAAATTTTACTTATTTTTATTTTAAAGGTTTGTCTGTAAAATAATAAGTACTTTGACACTAGATTCATTGTAAACTAGAGAATCTTTTTTTCTTTTATTTATTTTTCTTTTTAAGAGATTTTTGTTATAGGATTCATGTGCTTGCCAGAGAGCAAGAAATCGCCTCCCAGGGAATGGCCATGCCTCAATCCCTCTGCCCCTGTTCTCTCAGGATTTGGGGTATGCACACACATGCACCCAGCGTGAGTTTCTTTCTCTCTCTTTTTCTCTCTCGTTTTTGTTTTTAAAGAATTAATTTTATTTATTCGTCCATTTATTTTCATTTTACCAGAGAGAGAGAGAAGGAAAGTGAGAAAGCAAGTCACCTGGTCTAGGACTCAAACCTTGGTCAACCATGTGGGAGTGTTCAGCACCTTAACCACCACACCACCTGCTGGTCCCACCCGGCGTCAGTTTCAAGCCACTGGGTCTGGGATTCGAACCACAGGTTGACTATATGGGAGTCCAGTGATGTGACCATTTTGCCATCTGCTGGTCCCAATAAAATAGAGAATCTTTATTTCAGTATTATTTTGGCACAGAATTTCTTTTTGTTTAAAACTATGATCCCATGCTTTTTTCTAATTCATATAATTGTGAGTAGTAACTTATTTTAAAGTTTCTGCTGGGGTTTGTAAGTCTAATTTTTTTTTTTTCTTTATTTAGGTAATTGTATCAATGAGTATAGCATTTGCTCAACAAACTGAACTGTCTAGGATATCATCTGGAGGGAAAGAAAATACTGCATCATCAAAACAAGCACATGTTTATAGTCAGCAGGAAGAACAGCATTATTTTAATGATGTGAAATCATCACAAGGTCAAGTTAGCTTTCAGACTTTTGAGGCTCCAGATATGAAACTTAAAGAAGAATTTAAACCACTGAGTAAAGAGTTAGGAGAAGAAAGAAAGGAAGTTCTATTATCAAATGATGATCTTGACGACATGCAAGAATCAAAGGACCATGAACTGACTATTTCAGAAGAAATCTTTTCAAAAGATAAAGGATATGTTGTCAGAGAATCCGTAAGTATCTCTCCTTGAATTTAAAAACTTATTTTAAAAATTATGACTTTTGGAGCCAGCAGGTGGTGTGGTGAAGGTGCTGGACTCCCACATGGCTGACCACAGTTCAAGCCCCGGACTTGGTGGGTTGCTTTCTCACTTTCTCTCTTGTTCACTCTCTCTCTATGGTCAAATTAAAAATAATAACAATAATAAATAAAATTGAACAAATAATTCTTTTAAAATGTTGTGACTTCACTATAAAAATTTTAGCAGTAACTCTCCTTAATAAGAGGAAAATATCATATTTGTCCTGACTTAGGATTCACATTATCTATATATTTTTAATTGCAAAGTATATGAGTGACTTAATATTAGTAAAAAATAAGTCTGTCTCATACTATTCTTATTTCATCTTATAGACATTGTACATGGTAAAATCTTATACCTACACTAATTCTTTTTCAACCAATTCAAAATTAATTATACTACAGTTTGGCAATATCTGTGAATAAAAGATTTTTTAAATTATAACAGTATTATTCTATTAACTTTCAGAAGATAATTTAAAGTATTTTACTCTACCTCCAAATTCTCTCTTTATTCATTAATGGAAGTTCTATTCTGTGTCTCAAGTTTTTACTGCCTTTAACAGAAAGTAAGAAGTCCTCCTTCTTTTAAAAGTATCTAAGTTTGGGACCAGCATATAAAGATTTTTAAAATTATAACAGTATTATTCTAACTATTAACTTTCAGAAGATAATTTAAAGTATTTTACTCTACCTCCAAATTCTCTCTTTATTCATTAATGGAAGTTCTATTCTGTGTCTCAAGTTTTTACTGCCTTTAACAGAAAGTAAGAAGTCCTCCTTCTTTTAAAAGTATCTAAGTTTGGGACCAGCATATAGCGTAACGGTTATGTTGCTGCACTCCCACATAGTTGGCCGCTGTTCGAGTCCCAGTGGGGACTTAAAACTCCAGGCACATGTGTGTGTATGCCCAAGATCCCAAGAGGAGAATGGAGGAGAAAGGATCCATCCCCCTGAGGGGTGATTTTTCACTTTCTGTCTCTCTGTCTCTCTTTCTCTCTGGCAAGCACATGTGCCCTATAGCAAAAAATATCTCTAAAAAAAAAAAAGGAAAAAAATCTTATGTTCAAAATATTTATTATTGTTCAGGATAGGCTATGTCTTATTCAGAGGAATATAAAAAAAAGAAAAACTTACCAGCTCTTTATGGAATTCAAAACGTGAATGAAAACCTTCTTAATGTAACAGTAACTGTATAAGGCAAAATTATTTATTTTAGTATCTCTTCAGGAATTGAAGTATTCATAGCACCCGTCAAAGAGTTGATTTCTGATGAGTTACAGAAACTGGAATGTAAAAGTTTCATTTCCAAATAAAATTTATTAAAAATTATTAACCAAGCATTTCTCTGCAATACTGTGATAACCACTACATAATACATATTAAATAGATAAATTTCTTATTTTTTCCATTTAATTTAAAAATATAAATATTCCAGGGCCAGCAGATGGCATAATGGTTACATTGCTAGACTCTCACATGGCCAAACGTGATTTGAGTCCCGTACCCGGCAGCTTGAAACTCAAGCCAGGCACATGCACATGCATGTGTGCCCAAAATCTTGAGAGGAAAGTGGAGAAGAGTAAAGTGGAGAGGGGTTTGGCAGCAGGCCCCCCTGCCACAGGGGTGATTTCTCGCTTTCTGTCTCTCTTTTTCTCTCAGTCTCTCTGATAAGCTCACATGGCCTATAGCGAAAATCTCTCTTAAAAAAAAAAATATATATATATATATACATAAGTATATATATAATGTGTGTGTGTGTATCCCATTTATATTATTTCTCCATTATAAAGTGTCAAAGAGTAATAGACTTATAGTTCCATTAAGAGTAGAAGGAATCTTGCGAACCTTTCATTCTTTTCCCACAGAATAAGATGATATCAAACTAACTGATAAATAGCTATTTTGGTTTTGAAAAATAATTTATATAATAATAACAAACCAACTTCATGTTGTTTTGGAATTGTAATTACAAAAAAATAATGTATGCTTTTGTTTAATAATAAAAATACAAAATTTGGTGCTTTACGGGATGATTGGTAGACCTGTTTTCAGCAACCTAAAATAGCAGCAAAGGCATTTCCAAAAATCTGTAGTCATTGATGATTTTTTTTTTTTTTCATTTTACTGTTAAAGATCCATGATGACATTTTGGTGTCAAGCATGGATGCTTCTAGACAGCTGATGTTAAATGAAGAACAGCTGGAAGATATGAGGCAGGAACTTGTACGACAATACCAAGAACATCAACAGGCAACAGAACTGTTAAGACAGGCACACATGCGACAAATGGAGAGACAGCGAGAAGACCAAGAACAGCTACAAGAAGAGATTAAAAGACTTAATAGACAATTAGCCCAGGTATGGAACTTCCAATTCCTTTTCTCCCCAGGTAAAGTAGCAGCATTCTTTATGTAGCCTTTTTTTTTTAATGTCAAAATTATTTTGCCAAGATTTGAATAAACTACAAAATTTTAACATCTAGGAACATATTTCACAACATACAGCTACAGATCTTGTTAGGAACACTACACTCAACCTTGGAATGTACATTGTCTTCCTATCAGTATTTAACTGCCTTTCTAGGCACTGAAAAAGTGGTTATGAGGTTAGCTTTTTTTTTTTTTTTTTTTAAATCATTCCATTGACCATACATAACAAAAGCACTCTGACAATTTTGGAAATACTTTGTGCTGAAGTACTCCAGTATGCAGTTGCTATCATTCCATCTTCCCAAGTTTATTTATACTTCTGTGAGTCTACCAGTTAGTATCTCTGAGGTTTACCTTTATCTATCTTTAATCCATCTTTTTAATCATGACTGGAAATCTGAAGTAGTATGTTTCTGGAACTTTCTCCAGAGAAACATCTCTTCTTGATTTGAAAAATGCAAATTTATATAATGTTCTTATTTACTTCTTGACTAAATTTAAATACTTCTTGGCGTTTGGGAGCTGGGTTCTTGTCAATTGCTATATAAAATATACTCGCAAAATAAATGCAGAAAAGCAAGAAACATTTATTTAAAAGTTCTTTTGAAAACAAATTTATTAAATTTAATTTGGAGGGCCAGCCAGTGGCATGGCTTTAAGAGTGGCTCCCCCCCCCCTCTGACCAACCATGATGTTCGAGTCTCAGTAGCTTGAAAAACACATCAGAAGCATGTACTTGGCATGCCCAAAGTCCCAAGTGGGGAATGGAGGAAAAGGGATTGGGAGTGGCCATCCCCCATAGGGGGAGTGCTTTCTCGCTTTTCCTCTTTCTGTCTCTAGCAAGCACATGTGCCCTCTAGCAAATTAAAAAATAAAAAAAAATTTTTTTTGAAAAAATAAAGCTAAAAGAAGAGATATGAAATAGATAACTCTTAACTCTTCTTTCATATATAAACTAATAGAAAAATGATAATTGAGCATAAAATATGTCATTTGGAAAAATCAATTTTGCTTTTCCTCATTGCATTTTGTGAATTCAACTTCTGAATTTTCAATGCAAAATTGACATAGAAAAATAATATTCATTAAACTGCACAAATTTCTGAACATTTAGCCTTAATTAGCTTTTTTTTAAAGTTTCAAATTTTGCATTGAACTTTGTATATGCTTTTAACCCCTTATAATGGAATGTAAGTCATAGGTAAAGAAGAAGGACCTCTTGGTCCCAGGGGGTTAAAAGAAATCTGCTTAATATTTCTTCTCTTTTCCCCTATCGCAAACAATATTCTCTCATGACCTTTTTTCTTATCTAGAGATCCTCAATAGATAATGAAAACCTGGTTTCAGAGAGAGAGAGGGTGCTTTTAGAGGAGCTGGAAGCACTAAAGCAGCTGTCTTTAGCTGGAAGAGAGAAGCTGTGTTGTGAGCTGCGCAACAGCAGTACGCAAACACAGGTAGTATGGACTTCGGCCGTCTAGGAGCAATAGATCGACAATGCAGTTGGATTTGTATGTCTCTGTTTTTTGTGTGTGAGATGTATTTTTTATAGGTATTGAGCTTAACGTATTTGTAACTGCTTGCATGTAAGGTAGGTGGAGTCAAAATGCCTTACATTCCGTTTACGGTAATTTGAATCTGGCATTGCTATAGCAGCAACTGTTGTTTTTAGCAAGAAGCAACCCGACAGACTTTATTGTCGCACTATAGCATGCATTAGTTTGAACCCATTAAAATTTTTTTCACCTGTGCACGAGAGTTTTATCTTTTTGATAATGCTAATTTCTTGATAAAATATAGTTAAATATTATTTCAAGCTGTAACTGTTTAGTGCACAGTTTCTGTTTCACCTCATACCTATATAGAAGAATGACATGCTATTTCTAAGATGACAGGTTTTCTTTCTGTCTTGTCCTCCCTACCTTTACACAAACTTAAACAGAATGGAAATGAAAACCAAGGGGAAGTTGAGGAACAGACATTTAAAGAGAAGGAATTGGACAGAAAACCTGAAGATATGCCTCCTGACATTCTGTCCAATGAAAGGTATATAAAATGAGTACTTTTTCAGTGCAAAATGAATTAAAATGATTGTTTCTATGTAAGAAAAACTTACTCATTCTTATTTTTATTGTGTACATTTATTCTTTATCATAAAATCATATTATCTGTGTATGGAACATGTCCATTTATGTGTAACATGTGAAGGATTATCCACTTTTGATCCTTAAATAGACTAATTTTTTAAAATCTTGTATGTAAATAGTTTTTGACTGAATACTAATTACTCTAAAAACTAAGGTTTTATTGGGATTAATGCATTTGATAAATTTATTTGACTAATTTTGTTCTAAGCACATGTGCCCTCTAGCAAATTAAAAAATAAAAAAAAAATTTTTTTGAAAAAATAAAGCTAAAAGAAGAGATATGAAATAGATAACTCTTAACTCTTCTTTCATATATAAACTAATAGAAAAATGATAATTGAGCATAAAATATGTCATTTGGAAAAATCAATTTTGCTTTTCCTCATTGCATTTTGTGAATTCAACTTCTGAATTTTCAATGCAAAATTGACATAGAAAAATAATATTCATTAAACTGCACAAATTTCTGAACATTTAGCCTTAATTAGCTTTTTTTTAAAGTTTCAAATTTTGCATTGAACTTTGTATATGCTTTTAACCCCTTATAATGGAATGTAAGTCATAGGTAAAGAAGAAGGACCTCTTGGTCCCAGGGGGTTAAAAGAAATCTGCTTAATATTTCTTCTCTTTTCCCCTATCGCAAACAATATTCTCTCATGACCTTTTTTCTTATCTAGAGATCCTCAATAGATAATGAAAACCTGGTTTCAGAGAGAGAGAGGGTGCTTTTAGAGGAGCTGGAAGCACTAAAGCAGCTGTCTTTAGCTGGAAGAGAGAAGCTGTGTTGTGAGCTGCGCAACAGCAGTACGCAAACACAGGTAGTATGGACTTCGGCCGTCTAGGAGCAATAGATTGACAATGCAGTTGGATTTGTATGTCTCTGTTTTTTGTGTGTGAGATGTATTTTTTATAGGTATTGAGCTTAACGTATTTGTAACTGCTTGCATGTAAGGTAGGTGGAGTCAAAATGCCTTACATTCCGTTTACGGTAATTTGAATCTGGCATTGCTATAGCAGCAACTGTTGTTTTTAGCAAGAAGCAACCCGACAGACTTTATTGTCGCACTATAGCATGCATTAGTTTGAACCCATTAAAATTTTTTTCACCTGTGCACGAGAGTTTTATCTTTTTGATAATGCTAATTTCTTGATAAAATATAGTTAAATATTATTTCAAGCTGTATCTGTTTAGTGCACAGTTTCTGTTTCACCTCATACCTATATAGAAGAATGACATGCTATTTCTAAGATGACAGGTTTTCTTTCTGTCTTGTCCTCCCTACCTTTACACAAACTTAAACAGAATGGAAATGAAAACCAAGGGGAAGTTGAGGAACAGACATTTAAAGAGAAGGAATTGGACAGAAAACCTGAAGATATGCCTCCTGACATTCTGTCCAATGAAAGGTATATAAAATGAGTACTTTTTCAGTGCAAAATGAATTAAAATGATTGTTTCTATGTAAGAAAAACTTACTCATTCTTATTTTTATTGTGTACATTTATTCTTTATCATAAAATCATATTATCTGTGTATGGAACATGTCCATTTATGTGTAGCATGTGAAGGATTATCCACTTTTGATCCTTAAATAGACTAATTTTTTAAAATCTTGTATGTAAATAGTTTTTGACTGAATACTAATTACTCTAAAAACTAAGGTTTTATTGGGATTAATGCATTTGATAAATTTATTTGACTAATTTTGTTCTTACATGCTATTTCTATCCTAAAAAAACACAGTTCTACTTACAAACATCTTGACTTCTTTATTCCTACTTTATTTCTTCTCTGTTTGAACATGTATTGAGTATAAGCTATCCTCTGGTATATTTATTTATAGGAACAGATTACTATAAATGTAAGTATTCTACATTTAGCCTCTTTTATGTACTTACTCCTTAGCAGATGAGATCTTTTAATCCATATATCAGTTTCATAGAGGAATAAATTAATCACCCAATGTTAATAAAACTTTTGATTTTGTAGCGATTACTACAAAAATGTAAAATGTTAAATAAGAATAGTTATCCCACATTAAGAACTTTAGACTCAGCATTTTAAAATTTATTTTGTTCAAATAAAAGCAATTTTTAAAATTTTAAATGAAAACTGATCCTACTAACTTAATTTCCTCCTTTTCTAATTTCTGTGACTGTCAACCTTGTGTCCACCTAACCTCCTTCGTCAGCTTGCATGGAGGAATTTGGCCCCTAAGATTTTGGCTTCCCCATTGGATCATCAGTATGGAACACAGTCAGTGTGGAACTCAGACAAGAAAGACAGTGTATGAACATTAGAGTTACCAAAGCAATATAAAATAAACAAATGTTTTATTTTATATTATTTATCTCTAACTGGTTTATTTTAAAAAAACTATGCAGTGTGTGATTTTTAGGATTTTTTTTATAGTGAATGCTCCAATCATCTTTCTTTGTTTACCATCATATTAACTTTAATTATTTCTCTTCAGTAGAAGTATTTTCACATTATTCTGGTACTGGATTTGTGGTTTAAACAAAAATTCAGAAAAACATTAAGGAAATAAAACCCTTGACTTCATACTAGTTTAAGTACTTAGAGTTTTATTTTTAATATTCTTGATTATATAACCAGAGAACTTGATCTAGTTACAAAAATAGAACTGTCTCTTTACTTAGTAAATACTGAAGGAAAACTTCTCTATTTATTACCTTATCTTAAAATAGGTATGTCATGTGCCTGTGAAATCAGATATTCATTAATCTTAGTGTTCATCATCTCCTATAATATGAGTTTGAGAAATAAAACTGTTATTACAGCAGAGGACCTTAGCCATCAATGTTTCTTATTTCGTCTACTTTTTTTTTTTAAGAAGTATTTATTTTATTTATTATTATTATTTTTTGATTTGACCAAAGAGCGAGGAAGTGAGAAAACAAGCAAGCTGCCAGATCCAGGACTCAAACCATGGTCAACCATGTGGGAGTCCAGTGCCTTAACCACCACACCACCCACCAACCCCTGTCCACATGTTTTAAGTATAGTGTTTGCCATTATAGTACCTTTGGTGAAGTAAACTGTTAAGACTATAAAGCTGTTCAGTTAACCTAAAGAAATTTTTCTAAATTTATTAAAGAACTTATCTTAACAAGGAAAGATGTTCATGTTAAACAGAAAAGAAAGGTTACAAGAACACTTTGTCCAGGATGTATCATTAAAAAACAAACAAACAAAAAGTAAAGATTTATGAGATAGAGGAGAAAAATCTAGATATTTAGGTATTAAAATGTTAATAGCAATTATCTCTGTGTGGTAAAATTATTTTTGATGAGTAGTTAGAAGTATTTTCTAAGTTTAAAAAAATTACTTTTTAAAAAAGATAAATGTCCCATTATTTCCATTTAGTTGAGAATAGGTTCCTTCTTCTGGTTAAAATGAGTGTGGTTTCTGTAACTTGAGATATTTCTATCCCTGAAATAGATCTAATAAAAAAACAGCATATAATCTTGTTGGCAGACAGTGAGATTTCACTGTAGTCCTGTTTAAAAATAGTTCTCTGCCTATCTCTTTTGTAGTTTAAACATCCAGTTCATTATCATTAAATTATAGAAACACTACCACGTTTTTTTCTAGTGAAAAGCTTAAGTTATGTTTTCAAATATGTTTCATACACAAGTTTCCATGTGCAATAACTAGCAATATTACCAGCTCAGTAATTTGCATATACTTATGTCTGCCACATTTCTTAAAACTTAAATTTGTATCACCTTAAAGTGTTTTTCTAAACTATTATAATTACTAGATTAAAATTTAGTTACTTGATTTTTTTGTCAGATGACTACAAGGCTATAGTTTTAAAAAATGTTGTAGTTAAACTGGCCAAAATCTTCAAAATAAAACAAAATAACTTAATAAAGAAGCAATTCTTTATAATGCTATTGTATATTATTTTGGTAGGATATGATATTTTTCAGATAAAATATTTTGTAGTGCATATTTTTGAGCCATAGGAAAGTATTTGCTTTAAAAAGACCATTTGAATTAATGTTTCCTTGTTTATATAGGTATGCACTTCAGAAAGCTAATAATAGACTTCTGAAGATCCTCTTAGAAGTTGTAAAGACAACAGCAGCTGTTGAAGAAACAATTGGTCGCCATGTCCTTGGGATTCTGGACAGATCTAGTAAAGGCCAGTCATCTGCCAGCCTGATTTGGAGGTCAGAAGCAGAGGCATCTGTAAAGTCATGTGTCCATGAAGAACACACAAGAGGTACTGATTTTTATATGTTGTTGAAACAAGTATCGTATCTTCAGCAACTCTTGCTGAGGTCAAGGCACTTTATTATGTGTTGAAAATTAGGAGGACCAGCAGATGGCATAATGGTTACATTGCTGGACTCCCACAATAGTTGACCATGGTTCGAGTCCAGACACAGCAACTTAAAATTCTTGCCAGGCATGTGCGTGTGAATGCCAAAGATCCTGACAGGAAAATGGAAGAGAAGGGATTGCTATCCCCCCCGGAGGGTGATTCATCACTTTCTGTCTCTCTTTTTCCGAATCTCTAGCAAATGCATGTGCCTGACAGCAAAAATCTCTCAAAAAGAAAAAGGAAATATAAGAGTGCATATTCAAGTATTTTCCAAGAAATGAATCTCTAAAGACAAATACATTAGATCCATTCTTCTCAAAACATTATTATTGTATATCATTTGCAAGTGGTCAGTTCTTAAACTTATCATCATACATACCTAGTGTTACTACTGTGTGTACAGAAAAACACAAGGCTATTTCATTTCTCCAGAGATAAAAGAAAAATTCCACATCACCACTCAGGATTCTTACCTGCATTCATGAGATATGGGTAACATCTTGAAACTACCCTATAAATTAAGGAGAGCGCAGACATAAAGAACTTTTTGGAACCCGGCACCAGTTTCACATACCTTTTGAGGTGGTTAGAAGAAAGCCTCTATAAGAAACTCAGGATTGGGACCAGCAGTTAGCATAATGGCTATGTCGCTGAACTCTCATGTAGTTGACCGCGATTTGAGTCCCAGACCTGGTGGCTTAAACTCACACTGGGCGCATGTGCATGTGTGCCCAAGATCCTGAGAAGAGAATGGAGGAGAAGGCATTGTGGCATGGCCATCCCCCCTGGGGGGTGGGGGGTGATTTCTCAATTTCTGTCTCTCTGTCTCTTTCTGGCGAGTACACGTGCCCTATAGCAAAACCCTCTCAAAAAAAAAAAAAAAAGAAACAAACAAATCAATAAACAAACTCGGGATTTGGTTTTCTCTTTGGACTTTCCTCTGTGAGGTCTTTTCTTCCTTTTTGAAAAGTTATCTCAAATGTGGTAGAATGTGTATGGATCCAGAGAGTAGTGCTTGAAATAACATAGCTATTTTCCTGACTCCTGTCTTCTTCCTTAAGTCATTTGGGCAGGGCTTCTTCTTGCAGTTTCTCACTATCACATTGCTGATTTTTTTTTTTTCAATTTCTTACTAATTTCTGGTGAGAGAATCAGGAAATCAAAAGGGGAGAAAGTTTTTGTCAGATACAGAAAGATGGGATCTAGTTTCTTGGGTCAGAAAATGAAGCCCACACTTCACTACCATTACACCCAGGCATTTCTCCACAGAGGCAAACTTTCTAAGATGCCAGTTTTTGTCATTTTTGAGAGCATCTTGTTTCATGCAGAGAAATAGGAAGGAATTATCCCATTTATAGAAGGTTTATATACTTAAATATTGGCCAGTAGTGTGTTTCAAAATTCAAAGAAAAATTTAAGTTGGAATTTTAAATAAAATTGACTTTTTTAGAGAATTATTTTAACTTTATTTATTTTAATTTGACCAGAGAGGGACAGAGCGAGAAAGAGAGAATGTGAAAAAGCAAGCTGCCAGGTCCAGGACTTGAACTGCATTCATTTATGTACGAGTCCAGCGCCCTTAACCACCATGCCACCTGGTGACCCCAAAATAAAGTTGATTTTAAAACACCTCATTTCAGTTGAAAGATTTTTTTTTCTTTTAATGATAGGAGCACATTGTATAGCATGTGAAAGAGAGAGAAAAACACCCTGTTGAGGGCTCGGCATGCTCATTCCTCTTTCTCTGGCCCATCAGAATCTTGAGGACCTGTGTGCCTGGTGTGTTTCAGGCTGACGTGCTGGGAGACTGAGCCATAGTTGCCCATGTGGCTTCTAACACTGCAGTATGCTATCGACTGGCATCAGGCTGGGTCAGAGATAGTTTTTATAACTGCTTTTAGCAAAATAAGAGCTGAAATAATACTGACTTTTAAACTTTTCTATCAAAATCATTCTTTTGAAACTTGGTAGAAATGTTTTTCAAATCAACTTCACTCTTGGCTAAGGTCTCAATTAAGGGCTATTTTATTTCTGCAGAGGGATCTTGATGTATAGAGATTTAGGTATTATTTTCTTAGTCTCATTGTGAAAGTGTTCATCAAATCAGTCTTTTTAAAAAACAATTATTTCATAAACTGG